TTGGCGACGAGGTGGGTTTTTTGAGGGAGGGAGAGGGAGTGGAGGTGGGCGAGGGCGAGGGAGAAGGCGGCGGGGGAGGTGAGGAGGGCGGAGAGGCGGTGGCGGCGGGTGTCGGCGAGGGAGAGGAGGGAGGAGGTGAGGGCGGCGAGGTTGTGGGGAGGGAGGGTGGAGAGTGCTGCCATTATCATTCGGGTCTCGTTTCCTTCATCTGGGAAGAAGTCGTTTTTATTCGCTGCGGGTGGTGGTGGTAGTGGTGTTTGGAGTTCCATGGTATGGGATCTTGTGCAATCCTAAGATTGGATTGGATTGGATTGTTTGGAAATGGAGGGAATGGGGATGGCTTCCTTTTATAGTCTCCCTTCACCCCGGTCCTACTTTTCTTTTCCCGTTTTCTTTGGTAGTCTACATGGTATCAGTTTTACAGAGATGTCCAAGAGCTAAAATATGCAAATTCTACAACAAATGTAATGCATGTAAGGTTGATCCATCGAGGCAAACCGAAATCCCGAATCACAGAAAGTGAGGATTGATGAATTCAATGGAAATGGAGTCGGCTTGGGAATGACAAGTCATTCGTCCACATGTGTATGTCCAATGCAGACACTCTTCACAGCCCACGTTTCTCTTTTCTAGCATCCCCTGTTAGTCAAGTGATGTCTCTTCACCAGCAACAAAACAAGCAGAAGAAGGAGGAGAAGAGAAAAACAAACCCTTTGGCCCATCCAATCCATGGCTCATCCCTCTTGTCTCCCCTGCACATGCATTATTCTTCCTCATAAACAACCAACTCCTTGGAACTTTCTTCGCCAAACCCATTAATAACACAAAACCAACCATCTATCACGCCCTCTTGTCACCCTTTCACACCGTCATTCACAGCTTTTCATATTGCAAGACTTTGCTTTAACTGAACTCAACCCTGCATCATGATCTCGCAGCTACACATTCTGTAATCAAGTACTCTTTCTCGATTATCGGTGCGTTTGCCTTTCTTTGTCTAGCATCCATTTCAAGACTAGTATAGTGGGATTAGTTCAGCTGAAAGCTCCACGCCTTCGAAGATTTACATTGTAACACGGCTATCATCTATCCAGCTACGACCAGAGATCTTCTTCAACCCAATATCGTTCATCCTATCTCTCACCTCATCGGCCTCTTTCCATCTCCCCGCTTGTGCGTATAAATTTGCCATGATCATATAATTTCCTGTATTCTCTGGTTCAATGACAAACAAACGATCACACACGAACTTTGCGAGTTCAACATCACCAGCTTCTGAAGCTCCATGAAGCAATACCCCCCAAATTTTGGCACTTGGTTTAATTGGCATGTTGGAAACAAATTCTTTTGCCTCTGAGAGCCTCCCGGCTCTGCATAGAGCAGTTGCCACGCAGGAATAATGCTCGACGAACGGTTGGATGCCATAATTTGTCGACATGGCATTGAAGATCTCCCAAGATTTGTCCACCATTCCACAGTGAGCACAAGCTGACAACACTGCTGTGAATGTAACTCCATCAGGCTGGATGCCCTTGTTTAGCATCATATGAAAAAGCACAAGAGTTGAGCTAGCATCTCCGTTTGATGAATATGCAGATATTATTGAAGTCCACAAAATCAAGCTCCGTTCTTTTGACTGCTCAAAAACAACCTGCGCCCCTGTTATAAATCCTGACTTGCCATAGATATCAATGATTGCAGTTGCTACATATACGTTCTGGTCGTAGAGATTTCTGACAGCATGACCGTGGACCTCTTTGCCTGCTTTGAGATTCGAATAGTGGGATAGTGCAGGTAGAAGGCTTGAAAGGGTCACCGGATTAGGGCTTAAACCAGATGCCAACATTTCCCTGAACAATTCTATAACCTGCTCATGCCGATTATTTTGTGCCAAGCCTGAAATCACTGCATTCCAAGCACTTATCCAATGAGATTTTGTTGATCTGAAGATATCCACAGCCTCGCTTACTAAGCCATGAAGCATGTAGCCAGATATAATTGAGCCGTAAGTCACATTATCTCTATCACTCATGTCTTCAAACAATTCCCTTGCGTATTCCAAGCTACCGCATTTGGCGTACATTCCAATGAACGCATTACGAACCTCCGTGTCCAATTCAATCCGATTATCAATGGCAAATCTATGAACTTCCATTCCGAGAACAAGATCAGCTGACTGGCCACACGCTTGCAGGACGCTAACGATAGTTACAGCATTCGGCATAAACCCAGACGATTCTAACATGTCTCTGTACAATCCTTTGCACTGCTCATAAAATCCAGCTTGAGAGTATCCTGCAATCATCGAGTTCCACGATACTACATCTCTTTGAGTCATTTCGTCGAACACCTTCCTCGCAAGGACGATGGCAACACATTTAGCATAGTAACTGATCAGAGCATTCCCAACGAAAACGTCACCCTCCAACCCATTTCTGAGAATAAACCCATGCACCTGTTTTCCAGCTTTCACATCGCCATAGGGTAACTTCCCCAGCGACTTCATAAGAGACGTGACCGAGTAATTGTTGGGTCTAGCCTCGAGCTCATTTGAAAGAGCCAACTCCGCGAAGAGATTAAGCGCGTCGCTGTGGCAGTCATTGATAGAATAAGAGATGAGCATCGCATTGTAAGCGAAAGTGTTCTTGTGGGGAATTTGGTCGAACACGCTCCGGGCATGGCACAGGTTGCCTGTTTTAGCATAGAGATTGATGAGCTTGGAACCAAGGAAATTGTCGGGAATGACTGAGAGGAGGTTTAGCCGAGCGTGCAGTTGCTTCCCTTGAACAGGGAGACGCCGATCGGTGAACTGCTGGAAGAGGCGGCCGCAGGAGGCAAAGTCGATGCCGTCGGCGAAGGTCTGAAGGTAACGAAAGCCTCGATGGACTAGGCCGCCGAAGTGGTCCGTCAAGTTTCTCATTCACTCGTTCGGCTGCCCAAAGCAAGCCGGATCTCTTTTCTTAAAAGGCACTGGCACAAACGGCGTCGTTTACCCCTTGGTCTTTTAACGGCGTCCACGCTCCGTTTTGACTGGCGCCGTTTTAGCAACCATAGTCTAAACTCTAAAGCCGTCAAAATCCCAATTCTTGGCGGGGCCGAACGGAGGCGGCCGTCAGGGTGTTTGGGGTGCTGATCAGAGGATAGGGCTGGGAAAATAGACCAGACCGTTAGAAAAACCGTGGTCCAAACCGTACCGCACAGTTTGGTCCGGACCGTAGACCGTGAAGTATGGTCTGGTCTGGTCCATGGTCTGTATTATTTTATGATTTGATCTCTTGGTCTGGTCTGGTCTAGACCGCGTTTACCGGACCAAACCGTAGACCCAACTGACTTGTCAATACGTGTTAACAACCCATTCGACCACTCTCCAAACTCCCACAACGACACCCAAGTCTCAACCTTAATTTTGTGAATCTCTTCCCTCCTTCATTCACAACCACATTTAACCACAGAGTAGAGATAATCGTGTCTCCATATGACATTATGTTAATGTTTATGAAATTATGGTGCAAGCTGATATGCTTTTACTTTGTATCTTTGTTATGTACTAAGATTTAGAGTATCAAAATTATTCATGCATGTTAGGATTAATGTTTTAAGGCAAATAACAATTATTTTTCTTGGTTATTGGTTCAATTTTTTGTGTGGTTGACTAAACAAATTATTCATTTTTCGTTGAGTGTGGTCTATCTGGACCAGACCAGACCGAACCAGACCGCACAGGCGTGGTCTGGACCAGACCATATAGTCTGTGGTCTGGTCTGTGGTCTATACTTTAGCCTCTCGGTCTGGACCGTAGACCGTATATATGGTCTGGTCTGGACCAGATCGCACCGTTTCCTAGCCCTATCAGAGCATGTTCTGATCTCAGACTGAGCTGGAAATCGGCTCTTCAATCGTGGTTACATTGAATTCGGCCGAAGCATCTCGATTCTCCGAATTCGTTGTTTGCCGGTAATTCATATCGGCGGAATCAGTCTTTTTTCTGGAGGAATTGAAGGCAAATCGATCAGCTGCGTTGAGAATTAGGTTTAATTTTGAGACGATTTGATCGACAGCTGCAGATGGATAGCAGCAGGGGCAAACAGGCGGAATCGCCATCTTCACCGAGCACGGTCTTCAAGTTACCAGGAGAGCCTGCCGTCATTATCAATGGCGTCCCTGACATTGGCCCGGCGAAGAACGACGCTTCCGTTGCTCTTGCTATCGTCGAGATTCCAGAGGAATCGCAAGGCACGACGGCAGGCTTTCTTGGGACGGAAGGGTTCGGGGATTGGCTGGAAGGGAGGAAAGTGAGGAAGCTGTTTGGGAACAAGCATTTCTCTGGCACAGTGAGTCGGTACGACAAGGAAACTCGGTGGTACAGAGTGGTGTACGAAGACGGCGACTTCGAAGATCTGGAATGGAAAGAGCTGGAGCCGGTTCTTCTGCCTCTGGACATCACTGTTCCGCTGAAGACACTGGCACTGAAAGTTGTGGGACGAAGCCAGACTGTACCGCCTAAAGTTTGGAAAACCGGGTCTGCGACCAAAGCTAGAAAGAAGACTCAAGGTATGGGAGACCAAATTGCATGATCAGACTGTTTGCTTGCCTTATAATTCGGTTGCCGGGTTGCAATGTTCATCTTGTTCTGGACAATGCTGCTGCTGCTGCTTGTTCTTTAGGTATGGATACTGATGTAAATGGAAATCTGATTGATCAAAGGTTTAATATAACGGTTTACTTTGGTCGATCAAAAGAGTAACAGGCACCAGCTTAACGAACATGAAATTCATTTTGTTCTTGCTCTTATTACACAAATATTGCCTTCTAGTTTCATCAAAAGAAGGTGTGATCCATAAAACTATCTCCTTTTTCTGAGAACTTCCTGAGTAAGGAAGGTTGATCGGAATGGCTCCGAAATTTACTTTTGTCAGCTATAGATATAAACATCAACACTTGGTTTTGCCTCAACAAATAAGTATTTGGGCCAATGAAATTGAGTGTCTCTTGGTTGACCCTCAATTGATGGCTATGAGGGCAGCTCTTGGCGAAGGACACAAAATGTTGTCTTCAGAATCCTGAGAAACTAGCGATGTCTTTGATTCATCGAAGTCATGTTCTGCTGCCGAATCCCCAGAGTTTAAAGCACTTAATAATACTTCAAAGTCTGGTGTTCTCAGCTCCTCAATGGTTGTACTGCTTGGTATGCTGTATTTTGCCTTTGTGAGTGAGGTGCACGTGTCATCAACCTGATACGATCCATTAATTCAGAAGGTCTCCATTTACTCCGTCCAACACCGTAGTTAGATATAGAACCTGCACTTTGACATTATTCTTGGAAATTGATGTTCTTACCTTGTATTCACTAACTAGGCATTGCCCTGCATTTTCATTGATCTTGTGCACTCCGTCTTGGTGATCTCCATCAAGGTTCTTCATATCCTTGATAGAAGGAGCAACGATCATCTTCATGTTGTTTTCTGCTTCATGGTCCAGTTTCAGTAGACCTGCAGGCCGGTTAAACAATAATGACTCTTAGGGATCTGTTTTCTGGTGATAGAAGATTCCAGGTACAGAACTTACTTGAGATGGTGCGTATGAGAGACTGGTTTGCAATGTCAGATTGTTTAAGTGTAGAAGTAGCTATTGATGTAAGCTTTTCGAAGGTCTCATGGTTGGTTTCTACTCCATCCCTGGGGAAGTAACAGGAAATGGCAGTCTTACATTGTACTTACTTTTCAAACTTTGGTATGGTGGATTCAACATTCCTGAAAATTGCTTACCCGGCAATGGCAAAAACAGAATCTATGCTTCTCTTCTGCTGATCAAGAATCGATTCGTATGCGTCTTTGCACTTTGTGGCTCCGCTTCTTGCTTTTGCTAGGCTAGGAAGACGAATTAGAAAAGATTAGGAACGATGTAAGTGCTGAGTTGTTGTTGTTAAGTGAGAACGCAGTTGTTATTGCTTTAGGCACTCACCATTGATGAAGGTGTGCTTCCAAGTCAACTTTCCCATTTGTCACTGAACTCACAACTTCAGCATATTTAGCCTCTGCTGTCTCCAAGTGATCTCTCCATTCACAGTTGACAGAAGAAGCAACATTGTCCAGGCTCGAGAGCTCAAGCTGTAAGTTGCAGTTCCCTGTACCCATGCTTTCCAGAAGGCTACTAATTGATGTTTGAACCTGGATATTGATGAAAGTAGAAAGAAAAATGAACATTAGCCACTGTTGTATTAAAATTGTGAGATAAATTGCAATTTGTTTGACTGTCGTGAACGATGAGCAGAAAGCTACCTGCTTTTTCTTCCGAGCATTTGAACTATCCAACATCTCTGCTATTTTCTCCAACATCAGGTCCTTCTCCAAAGCGGCACTTACCTGCACGTGTGAACAGGTTATTGTTTTGTCTTTCCCAAAGAAATTTGTCTATGGAAATTAACAGAAAATGTGCAAGTACTCCAAACTCATATTCATCAAAAGAAGGGGGAAAAAGTACCTCAAACTCCTTCTCGAGCTCATATAGCTTTCTACCAGTAGTTAATTGGGTCTCTTCTGCTATTCGAGACAGGTTCGAAGCATGGATGCCTAATTTCGAAGTAAAGCTTGTCATAGCTTCAGTCATTGATTTGGTCATTTGCAATGTCTTGGAATGAGTCTGCTCAATAGAGTAACAGAGTTCAGTAATTGATGGACATCAGTTCAGTATGCCCACAAAAGAAGTAACCATTTTGTTTAAGGGTTTCCATATATCAACGGAGGAAAAATGGTCCAGTTACCAAACCTCATGAAGCTGCTGTGCATATTTGGCAAGTTTTTCCTCTTCTGTAAACAACTCAGTTTGTACGACTTTGAGGATGCCATGTATTTCCATAAACTTTTCTTCTACATGCTGCACAGTTTTTTAGAGACTTGTATCAGTGAAGGTTGAAAGCCAAGATGTGTGATATAGGAAGTGAGCCAGAAACCTAATAATTACCTCAACAAGAGTAGTAGAGTTTCTCAGGACTTCCGAAGTTACATTGGAGAATGCTTGCTGGTAACCCTCGTCGAGTTCCCCAGCTATGTTTTCCAATGACTTGATGCTACTGCCATAACTGCCATTGAAATTCACAACTTCTGATAGAAGTCCTTCAGTACCCTGCAAAATAGGGAAAAGGTTACTGTATCATGTGATACCAGTAAAAGTACAAGGGTAATATGCATGTAGGAGGAGTTCCTTTCACACCGATTCTTTATCAGCTACGAATAAGCTGAAGTCTTTCTCTATTGATTTTAGCTGTTGCTCCTGCTTTGCAGTGGCGCTTGAAACTATTGCGTGCAAACCGTCAAGCTCTTGACCGAGCTGAGTTTGAAAGTTCTGGAGAAGAAGTCTGTTTGCTTCTCCTACTTTGGCTTGTTCTTCTGTTAGCCACATAGGACAAACCCAAAAGCTTATTATGTGCCTGTACAGAACTACAATGCATGTGAATATGTGATTATGAAAAACTTCTCAAAGCTAACCAATTTGCCCGAAGAAAGTTGACGCCTCTTTAGCTGCACCATCCAGCTCCTCCCGTAGCGTCAAAGCTTGATCCATAAGCGCTTTCTCTGGAAAAATTTGCTTTACCAGTTAGTTTCTTTTCTTCAGGAACTTTTTTATGCGAGAAACGCCCAGAGATACAAACTTGCGTCCATTTCATTTGAGGACAGCAAACTGGAAAGGGTTATTATAGGCTAATACAAACTTGCCAACACTTGTGACGGGAATTTGCCTCACCAGATTGAAGGAGATTAGAAATCAAGTACTCTTTCTCTATTATTGTTGCGTTTGCCTTTTTTTGTCTAGCATCCATTTCAAGTATAGTATTGTGTGATTCTTGAAGTTCTTTCTGCCATCAAAGAACATTGAGAAGATCTCTTAGTTCATTAACCAAATGCAAGTCATGGTAGCAGTTCAGCTGAAAGCTCCACGCCTTCGAATATTTAAATTGTATATCATGGTTATCGTTGATCACCTGTGTCTTTTGAAGTTTTTCTCTTAGTTCAGCTGTCTGAAGCTGCTGATCATCATAAAGGCTCTGAAGTTCCATATGATGCTGCTACCAGAATGATACTCGTCAGCTATCCAACTTAAATAGATGCACGAAGAACGAAGATTGTTGAGAAACAGCGTACCTTGTCTTTGATTTCTAATTCTAGTTCCAAATTCTCAACTTTCTCAACCATCGCCTGTGCAAGCAGAGTAACTTCAATCTGACTATCACAATCTCAACTATGATAGTAAAAGACTAAGCTAGAGTTTATACCTTCATCTCAGCTTCTTCAGCCAGGTAACGATTAACTGGTACATACATGCCATTCTTCTCTCTAGCAGCATATAGTTCTGCACTTAAAGAAAGAAAGAAAAACAGCATAGAGTTTATGGAAAAGAAGATGCGATAATTTGTATGTCATGTTTCCACTGAACTGCACTTGACAACCTTGCCTAAGACGATCTATCTCAGAGTAAAGATCCTTGAGCAGCTCAGCTTTTATTGTCCTCTGATTCACCTGATTCATCAACAGTACATCTATAAGCCAGAATGCAATTAAGCAAGGGAAACAAATACACGTATAATAACGGACTACTACTAGCCTCAGGTTTGTTTTTTATATTTTTGGCTCGGTGAGCATAATCTAGGGTATTAAGCGTCTCTTCCAAGGAATGAACAGATGGTGATATTGTGGCAATTATGCACGTCTTTGTCTTCCCACCTAGTGAATCCCTTAGCAACCTTGTCAATTTACTGTCCCTGATGTATTCAAGAGAGTTTAAAGTTCATTAGGTTCTCTAATCGCAGAAAGCTTCACTGTTTTACAGTAATGCATCATGACATTCTCTACCTGTATGGAACATGCCCAGAATGGTCAACCAATGCATTGATTACGCGGCCTAGCGTTAACAAGCTTTTGTTGATCTCTCCAGCTTCCCTCGCTCGTTCCTGCAACGACATTCATTCTTTTCTTTACAAATGAAGAAAGGATGGCGGCATAGAGCAAAGGTTGGCAATCATATTCTGAATATGTTAGTTTTGTACCTCTTTTGCTCCAGAGCGCGAGATATTCTCAGACCCAGCAAGATCAACAAGATTAAGTTTCCCACACTTCACAAGCTCCTCGCCAACTGAAGAACCTTCCTCCTTGATGTAAATCGTAATCGAGAATATGGTGTGAGAACGACTGCTGGTTTTGTTAAGCAGTGTTGCAGCAGTCTGCCTCTTGGCAGAGCCTTTCTCCAAGATCTTGTATATTTCTTTAGCAGAAGAGACCAATTCCTGCTCTAACCCTCTTATGAAAACGCCTCCCTTGCCATCTTCCAAGAGGGCTATTGGCTTCTTCAGTTTCTCATCCACGCTAGCAGTAACACTTTCATCAGAGTCCGCCAGCAGGTCCATTATCTCCTCATTGTAAAGCTCCAGAAACGTCACTTTCATGCTGTAGTCTTCACTTCTGGCTTCCAGAACCTCAAATATTTGTTGAACAGCTCGTGGAATGATACCAGCATCACTAGGAAACTCCCCATCCTGAAAATAACCAAACTAACCTTCAGCAAGTAGGGGTAAAACCATAACTGCTGAGCAATCTGACAACAGAATATCTAGTCAGTTAAAATTCAACCTCGGACACCATCCCTCCTTCCATTGTGTAAGTTTTACCAGTTCCAGTCTGTCCATAAGCGAAAATGGTACAATTGTAACCCTCGAGAACTTCATTCACAATTGGAGTCACAGCTGAATCAAACAAATCCGTCTGCTCGCATGTAGGACCAAACACCTATACCAACAATTATCAGCAAGACAACCCAGAAACCAATTCAATCTTTAGTCTAGCTTCAGTTACAGTGAGATTAATCAAACTTTGTTCACTAACAAAAAACCAAGAAGCACAAAACTAAACCTTGTCAAACTGATAGCTCTTATCTATCTGCTTGTGAGCTGTATTCTGGACCAAAGACACTAATCCCTTCTTCACATTGCAAGAAATCACTGCATGAGATACCAAATGCTTCTCATCTTCATTCAACGGCCTGAAAATGTCTTACAATATGTAACCCCCACAACAAAACAAGAGTATGTTCTCAGTCGTACCAAAAAAAAAAAAAAAAACCCCAAGTCATCAATTCTTCATTACCTGCAACGGAGAATGACCTGCACATTTACCCCCTTATCATTCTTACTGTTATTGTTCGAGTTCGCCTCTGATGGAACTGACGGCTCTTTGAAGCTTCTTGTCCGCAGGGAGTGAAGAGAAGAAGGAGAAACAGGGATCATGCTGGATCTTCGTTGCTGCTGGGAGTGTGAATGTTCCATTTGTGACGCTCTATGGAGAGAACCACCTTCCTGCAGCAACAACTTGCGCGGTGACGGGAACATTTCCCTGATGTTGGCTATTCCCCTGCTAATAAAATCGCGGGTGCAGATGAGAAAACCGCAGAATTCAATGAAGAACACTGTAGTAATTCGAAGATTACAGGTTACCGAAAGTCACCAGGCAGTTGAACTCCCAAGTAGCTAGAAAACAAATGGTCGAATACTTGGTGAGCAAAACTCTCCTACTCCATTTCCAAACCGATGGACGGGGGAGAAAAGGAATTAAAAAAAAAATAAACATGGTGAAAAAACAAAGGTCCGGACGAACCTAAATGATGCTGAGACGTGCAGTTTCTGCGTCGCGCCAGGAATCAGAATTACAAGAAGAGAAGTCAGAGTACTTCTTCTGCCGCCCTGCAGTCCGATTCTGCAGGCGCAAACGACACGGCCGGCGCCAAATATTCTAAAATTTCTGAATCAGACGGGCGAATCAATTGAAAACTGAAAGACTGATTTGAACTCGCCGTGACGACGCAGGCGGTGCCTTTAAACTGAATTCTAAAACAGGCCGGCCGTTGATCAATGGCGATGCTACCCAAGTTAGGTGGCCTTGCAGCAGCTCATTCGTTGAGGAACGAAAAAGTTCTTTGCGACGGTAGTTCAGCGTTACCGGAGAGAGTGACGGAACAGAAGAATTTCAGTGGTCTGCTAATGGCGGAATAGCTGAGTGTTGACTAAGATATCTCAGTAACAAAGGAGATTGAAGCATTTTCTGTTTCGGATGGTGAGCGGCGGCGGCGTCGGCGTCGATCGCTGTGCAGGCCGAGGCAACGTAGCAAAGTAGAGGGCGCTGGTTCAGGAGCGAGCTTCTAGTCTGCAGTTTGGAGGAGAGGAATGCTGGATTGCTGGTTGATGATCGTTTCGTTGCAAAAGAATGGGACGGGGAACCGTTGCAAATGAATTAGCTGCTAAGCAGTTTAATTGCATTTGAACCGTTTTTATGGGTCCTCGTGTCGCCCGGGATTTTCGTGCCTTTATTTTCCAGATCATTGATTCCACGCAGATCCTATTAACCAAATTAAACACCATTTTAATTTGGTGTCCATAAAACAAGTAATGAGAATCAACGTTTACAGAATCTAAATATTTATGCATATATGTGCGCAGGAAATATGTTAATGTTTTCTAAATTATAATCATTGCAATTTTGTTGTATGTCTTTGAATTAACTAAAGATTTCTTGATGATTTTTATTTTATAATTTTATAATTATTGATTTTATAGAATTGAAAATACATGGATGTATTTATGTAGGTTGGTTCTCACAAACGATTGTCTTATTATTTTATTAAACTCTCTCTTTTTTATATTAGCACAAGTCAAGAGCGGAGAAATTATTAATTTATTTTAGATTATTAGTTTATCTAGTACTAGTTTATAGAGATTTTATCGTAATGGGGAGCAGAAAATTATTAATTTATTTTAGATTATTAGTTTTGAGATTATTAATTTGGTTATTGTTAAGAGCTAACGAAAAGTGCCTAACTGAGCTTTTCCTTATGAGTTATGATTAGCATTCTCAGGTGTCAGAAGCTGGCTTAAGCCCGGTAAATAAAATTCCCCGTCGGAAATGAAGAAAAGAAGAGCTAGCCACAAAGGACCGAAGGGAGAAGGGCTTAGTCGTCATGGGAAAGAAAAGCAGAAAGAAGAAAGAAATTATTCCCAGAGAGCTTGTCCAGGGAGAGGGACCTGCAACCGCAGAGACTACTGACCCTCTTCTTGTTTGTTCCTAGCCGTCAGTGCAAAATGTAGTCAACATCACGTTTTAAGACTTAAAGTCTTATGCTTTTAGACTTTTAGGTCACCAAAATGCTTCTACATATAAAGGAGGTCATCTACTCGATCCTTCATGCTGTCATCAAGGAGGTCCTCTACTCGAGAGCATTCGATTAACGTATCCAAAGTTCGCGCGCGTAGGTTTCAACCGCAAAATCTATGTAACAAGTGGTATCAGAGCCTGGTTTAGCGCGACCGGAGTCCATGAAGATGGTGCCGAAGAAGCAAGCGTCCCAACCAACTTCTTCCGACAACACCGCCATCAACGAGGATACTCTTCAAGGGCTACGTGAGGCTCAACACAATGTGCAGGAGACGTCAAAAACACTACAGATGGTGACTATTCAACTCGACAACCAAGCTCAACGCCAGCAGGGCATAGAGGGAAGCATCAACAAAATAGAGGCCACCATGACGCAACTGCAGGCCTCGGTTTTGGAGATGATACGAGAGCATGCCTCAATCATGAAGCTGGCGCGTGGATTAACGACGAGGATCCATGTGCTACAAGTTTCGATCGACGACAAGGTCGTCGGGACATCCGGTCCAGTAGCAGACGTTCATCGACAACGAGGAGAAACAAGGGGACTCTGCGATGAGTAACGAGGATGAGGCAGCAAAAGCAACCGCGAGGCCGAGGCCGACGAGGCGTTCGACCGCGAACGTCTCAAGCGGGGAGAAATTGAAGGCGATCGCGGAGGAGGAGGTTACCGTGGGCAGGGTCGTCGCAAGCCCTACCCGGCTCAACAGAGCGGGGCGTGGAACAACCGGCGGAACCCAGGTCGGCGGCAGCGGCCACGGTGGGAGATCGGTCTCCGCGATGGGACCCGAATGGGGAGCTTTGGCTCTCGACCAGGGCGCGGGTCAAGGGAGAGGATCGATCAAATCGACCAGATCTAAGCATGACATTTCTGCCGGGCATCATCGGGGGCTAAACCAGTCCGGCTAGCTTTGGAATAGGCCTGGTCGGCAGCGGAATCCCCGACGACGACGGTCAAGTGGCAGGAGCGGTTTTTTGGCCGACTGGGCTAGCGAGTCTACTATTGCATTGGGCCATGGTGATGGGGTCGGTTGGCTGCGCCAGGAGCATGGTCCACCACCAACCCGACAGGCCGAGGAGCGAGGGAGAATGGAAGCGGATCGGGTGACTGTAGTTCACCACCACAGGGGTATGGTTCAGGTCGGACCAAAGAAAGAATCAGACCCTTTCGACAGAAGTTGGCTCGATTGGAATTTCCAAAGTACAATCGAAGTGAGGACCCATCCAGATGGTTCGCGTGAGTGGAGCAGTTCTTCAAATTCCAGGAGACGTCAGAAGAGCAGAAGGTGCTACTAGCATCTTATCATAAGGAGGGAGATGCCAACCAATGGTGGCAATGGGTGGACTGAACCTACACTATGACAGGGATGATGATGACATGGGCCCCGATTTCGTGAGGAGTTATGGGCTAGATTTGGTCTGTCCGAGACCACATCGAGTCATGAAACTCTCGCTAAGATCAAACAAACTGGATCGTTAAGCGATTATCTCTTAGCTTTTGAGTTGGGCAATCAATGCTATGGATGGACGGAAGAGGCGTTAGTGGACTCGTTTATTGGTGGGCTCAAATCTGAAATTTTCGATGCAATCCGCATGTTCAAACATAAAACGGCGAGGAAGGCGATACGACTCGCAAAAGTGAAGAACGAGGAACTAGCAAAGCGTCCCGGAGCGCCACGGAATCCGCCAATGGCGCCTATGGAGACCATGACCGAGGCAGCACCTGCCCAACCATGTGTAGCACCGCCACACAACCCAAATGCTAGAAGGATATCGCCAGAAGAGGTAGCACGCCGTCGGGCATAAGGCCTTTGTTTTCATTGCATGGAGCGTTTCACGATTGGTCATCATTGTGACAATAAGAACATGCTACTCATGATTGGGTCGTACACAAACGTAGAGGAAGGTCAATTCATCTATGAAGAAAACCAACTTGAGGACAAGGTTGTGCTAAGGGGGGAGGATTGATACGAGAACCGGGCCATCGTAGCAATTGAGCCAACTATCTGGGCTATCGTATCTTTATTACTTATGTCTGTGTTAGTATTTACCTTGTTTAAGTAAGATTTAACTTATTGTTGTTTTCTTGTAGGAGTAGGAGTCATGTTTTAGGTAGGAGAAATGAAAGGTTCTATCCTTATAAATATGTACTCATTCTTTAGTTTAATATCATGAGAAGATTGGAACCCAATTTAGTTTCTGGCTTTGTTATTTGTTTAGTAATTTCGTAATATTTTGGGTCGATCTCGCCGTCAAAGAAGTATTCTACTCTTGTAAAAAAAAGTACTCTACTAAAGAGTAGTGGAAATTCATTGGCCCAAGACAGTGTTTTGGGCATTGAGACCCCTATCCAACTCTTCTCTGACCTGATGTACTGAGATTTGCCCTCTTCTGCTCATGTTGATTAATTTCTCTTATTAATGAAATGAAATCGCAGGTTAACTGTGAAAAAAAGTCTGAAACTCATTTGGGAAGGAGAAGGGCTCTCCCGCCGAGGCATGATTCTTGTTGCTCTTCGATACACTCTGCAGATACTCTACCCGAGCCTACAACACTACAGAGCTTTCTCTTATTACAGAATCACCGGCGAGACTAAGAGGAGGCGCGTGGACAAGGCACTTAGGATTCTGGACATCGTATCCACCGGAAGAGCTACCGTCGTTAGAGATCGCCGAACCCATCTGCGTCTCACTGAGGACTTTCTTCGAACGGATTTGGATCAAACCCATGAGGAGGAACACCAAATTCATGGTTCCAGACCTCCATCCAGCTCCGGAGATGGTGAAATCGATGTAGTAGCGGATAAAACTCCGGAGCCTTTTCCGGAGAACGAAGAAGGTTTGGGAGGAGGAGTCTTTGGTGCTGTCGTCCTGTCAAGCGCGGTGAGCTCATGTGTGTCCATCCGCGACCTTCGTGGCGGCATTCGGTATCATTGCTTGGCAATTACAACTGGGTTTCTCGCAAATGCGTACGTGGGGAGCTCTTTGATCACGCTGTACAGCAAATGCGGGGAACTGGGTCATGCACACAAGGTGTTCAACGAAATGCCCGTGAGGAATGTGGTGTCTTGGACGGCAATTATTTCCGGGTTTGCACAGGAGTGCCATGTCAATCTTTGCTTGGAGCTCTACTCCGAGATGATGATGAAGTCAACACTCAGACCTAACGACTTCACACTCACTAGTCTATTGAGTGCCTGCTCCGGCATTGGAGCTCTTGGGCAGGGAAAAAGTGCTCATTGTCAAGCCCTTCAAATGGGTTTGGACTCGTATCTCCACGTTGCCAACTCCCTCATTTCCATGTACAGCAAATGCGGAAGCCTAGAAGATGCACTTTTAGTCTTCGACAACATGAGTAGCAATAATCGAGATCTTGTGTCATGGAACTCGATGATAGCTGGATACGCTCAACACGGCCTGGCGGAAGAGGCAATTGAGTTGTTTGAAGAAATGAAGAGGAATCAACAGCACCTGAAGCCAGATGCCATTACTTTCCTCGGTGTTCTATCTTCTTGTCGCCACTCAGGTTTTGTGGATGATGGAAGAATTTACTTCAAATCAATGGCAGATGAACATGACGTGACGCCTGAGTTAGACCATTACGCATGCCTAGTTGACCTTCTTGGGCGTGCTGGGTTGCTGGAAGAGGCTCAACGAGTCATCGAGGGAATGCCGATGGATCCAAATGCAGTCATATGGGGCTCGCTTCTTTCTTCATGTCGGCTTCATGGGAGTGTTTGGCCAGGGATACAAGCTGCAGAGCAAAAACTGTTGATGGAACCCAAGTGCGGCGCAACCCACTTGCAGCTCGCAAAGTTGTATGCTGGCGAGAGGTGTTGGGGTGAGACTGCAAGGGTGAGGAAGTTGATGAAAGATAGAGGGCTTAAGACGAATCCCGGGTGTAGTTGGGTTGAGATCAAGAACGAGGTGAGTAGATTTAGAGCAGAAGATGGATCAAACAACAGAAGATTTGGTGAAGTTGTTGATGTTTTGGATTCTCTGGCAGACCATATGAGAACACTAAGTTTTGTGCCTGAAATATAAGGCTGCTTGGGTGTCAAAAGTTAGAGGAGACGGTTTTTCCCTGTTTGGAAAATGGTCTTTTTAACTATAAGCCTCATTTATTTCTTAACCTACTCATGCGCTGTTCAACTAGCATGGGGAACGGGGAAGATACATAATTCGACTAAACCAATGTTGGGTAAAACTGAATTCTGAGTCAAAAGTTGGCAACTCCGAGCCTAAACTTGAGCTGTGGTGCAAGAAATTTGATAGCCGAAAGGAAGTGGCGATCATTTAAGTGTCTAACAACGTGAAAGAAAGAAGTCTGTCAAATTCTTCACTAACTACTCCCAGTAACATTCGATGTGTCCTTTCCCAAGCACCATGAAGACTGAAGATGCAGTAGCCGAGGCTAAGGCAACACGGACGTTACTGAATAACTCGCATCACAACTCGATTGTTGAGACAAAAGGCTCCATTTTTGGAAATCAATGCATTCATTGCTTGCACCTGGGACGCAAACTTCACTACAGCAGTTCTTATGGAATTTGGTGGCATCCCTTGCCTGCAATAGGATAGGAATGTAAAGGGCTGCCTCCCGTTGAGAAACATGATATGACTAACGCGGTATAGGAAATCAACTCAACCTTTTCACTATTTTTGGCCACTAACCTTATAAATTGGATGGAAGATGAGTCAAAATCAAAGCCTGACAAAAAGCGTTCGATATCGTCTAGTTGTGCATTTGGAGGAACTCCTTGCACCAGAACCTTCAATGAATGAGAAATGTTAATTGAAAAGAAAATTTGAGATGCAGGCATGCAATGCAAATATACATCGGACAAACTTGCAGCTACTGAGATATCTTATGATCATGCGAAGCTAAACATGTAGTATCCTTCAAGCTGCACAAACTTCAAAAGCCACCAAGAACCTCATCACACATCATACATGGGTTCAAGTGTTCACTACTGTAATGAGAGTAACTGCTTCATTTGTTAAAACAATTTGCATATGACCTAAAGCTGCAAGTCCTGCCATATATTTCGTTGCTTCGGATCCCTAAAAATGCAGCTTAAAATGTAATTTATACAGATAAATTAGTAAATTCTGAAGATGGAGACAAAACAAAGAATATGGGATGAAAGACTCCACACTGCTTAACCATACAAAGTTGCATTCAGTTGCTTGATTAAAGGGTTGATGGCTTTCATCATCAACAGGGAAAACTGAAGGAAAGCTAAAGCACAACGGCAAAATAAGAAGAGAATCAACTTGACTCACAGTTTTTCCATAGAAAGGCTGTTGAAGATCCCACTCAGAACGGTTAGCCTGTCATCCAGAGTTAGCAGCATAAGCAACACCTAGATGAAAGAACAACACGAACCGAAACACATAACCTTACTAGTGACAGATTAACTACAGTCACACGCACCATTTGCAGCCTGTATAAACGACCCTTCTTCGCAATGACCTTAAATGCATTGTCGTAGGCTTGACGGGAAGGAAACTGTAATAGCCTGAAAGCAATCAAAATATCACTTGCCAAGTTAAGAACTCAAACTATGAAAATCTCCAATGATCTCAATGAAGACAAGCAGTAAGTAGATAGTGCAAATCAGCCAACCATAGCATTTGCTTTCATGGGGAAGGAAATGAAATTACTGGCAAAATCAAAAACATCCATGAAATTCGTACTAAAAAACGACAATTAACAGAGTCGAATCTTCATACACTGCAACAGGACCATAGCTACGGGTGTAGTTGAATTTGATATCCTCAAGACCCAAGTCACAGCCCTCTAGCATATTGATAATGTCCGTCTTCAGCGTATGCCTAGTGTTGCCGAACAATTTCCCGTATGCTGTAACAGAAGGTGGAAAAGATAAAGAAAATAAAAACGTAATTCACTAGCCATAAACCCTAAACTAAAACCCCCCCATTTCCTACTCGCTAATTTCGCACAACAGATGATTCCTTCCATAAAAGTAGCTGAAATAAAGGTGTTTATGAGAGTACCGATGCCAGGATTCTGAAGGAACGGATCCACGGATGGGTTTGCCGGCGCTGATGCCGGGGAAAGAGGCCGTCCTGCTTCGGTGGAGAAATGATTCGCAGATTGAAGGAGAAACGGGGGAGATCCAAGTCTTGAAGCGGAGCTTCGGAGAGCGAAGGCCGATCGGATTCCGTTTCTTAGAAGACTCATCTTGAAGGTCCGGCGAGGCAAACTGGTCGGTTCTCTCGAGTTGCTAACCAGTCGAGTAGCAGAAGCAAGCGAAACCAACGACGAGGGTAAAGCAAGAATGAAGGAGAGCGATGAATTATGGGCCCAAATTTAATTCCGATTTTGGGTAAATATTAGGTAGAAATGTAGGATACGGCAGGCCAGGTTTAGGCCCAACATTGTTAGAAGGAAAAAAAAAAAAGGTGTACTAACTTGTAGTTTTATGATTGTTAGAGTTGTGTTTGTTAAATACATGTATTATGCACAATACAATGTTTGGAAGTGTCAAGTTGTAAAACAATGCATGTATTATTTTGTGTAGGCCCCACCAACAATCACAAAAAATGATGCATTATACAATCTCAACTAAAGTTGAGATTGTTGTGATTGTCCTTTTAGATTTGTGTCCACTTTTTCTTTCCATTTATATCCCCAATATTTTTTGTTTTATACTAAAAGGTGAGGGTAAATGTGACATTTCCCTATAAAGTAACTTTATGCAAATCAATACATAAACTAGAATCTCAACAACCAAACAATGTATTGTCAAAATGCATTTATTGTATCAATGCATGTATTTATATTGTAGTGATTCATTACATTACAACGATTTAACATTTGCAACTTCCAAACGACCCCTAAGATGCTGGGTTCATTTACTAACAATCGATTTTGAGTAAATTTTTATTTAACTCATAAGCAGGGGTAGATCTAAGTGTCAAGAAGTCATGTCGCCTAATTTTTTTTAGAAATATACATTTTGTCGGTATAAAATGTTCGAATACAAAGCCTCATACACAACTCTAATAATTGTAACTCAGGTACTAAAATGTAATTTTCCATCAATATTTTTAGGAACCTATGCTCCACATGAACCTTTACTTAGGTGGAAAGAGCCCTAATTACATGCGCATCGAGTTAGAGCTTGGTATAGGCCCTTTGGAATATGATCCACGATTGAACCTCTTCCAACAACTCGAGTTATTGGGATCAACTGGTTTATGACATGGTATCAGAGCCTAGAACCGAAAGGTCATGTGTTCGAATCTCCACGGCCCCCAATATTAACCGTTATCTTTCAAGCACATGGTATGGTGGGCCTGTGCAAACTTCAAGCCCATGAGTTGGCTTTCGTTTGAGGGGGCGTGTTAGAGAGTGGTATAAGATCCACGATTGAACCTCTCCCAACAACTCGAGTTATTGGGATCAACTGGTTCTTGACACTCTCTTTACCGTAAAAAGGAAGTACAACACATATAAGTCGTTATGACAGGGAGAAGAAAAGGAAAAAAAAAATAGGCAGAAAAAAATGAAGAACACAAGGGTCAATTATGCAACCAGTAAGCTAGAGAAATCCAACAAGACAACCATATTTATCCACCTGCGTGGGTCCAAGCTAAGAGTAGTAGACCTAAAGGCCCTTTGGAATACGACCTCGATCACCACTATACTACTTGGCCAATTTGAGTTATAGTTGGCTCAAATCGGAGTGGTTAGTTTCATGGACGATCCAGCTATAAATTGTAAACACTATCGGAGTCTTTACCTGTCACATCTTCTCCCTCTCGGGTTGTATAATGCACACTATGATGTGCGTTAGAGTTCTATATGAACTATGTATCTATTGGTATTGTTATAGTCTCGAAATGACTAAACGAATAATTCATCTAGAAAGAATAACCCTAAATCTCCGTAACTACACAAAAAACCCTCCACCGAGAGCTTCTAGAGGAGAGGGTTGGACAGAGAATCAATTCCCTTGTCTGTTTTATCACCTTGGAAAAGTCCCATTTTCCATCCATCCCAAGACTCTCACACGTAGACTAGCAATTTAAGGTGGTGGTCACATTAGGAAAAAGGGAAGCTATTTGTCCTCTGAAACTCCGCCGAACGTGAGAGAAGTGGGAGATGGAGCTCTTTACGTCGTCACCCTAAACCCTCGCCAAATCCTTGTTCAACCATCACCACTTGAATTAGTAAAAGCTTGTTAGTTTAGAGTTAGCAAGGAACTCTGTTAATTCGAGGTATTGTCCATATCTTTCTGGGTCCTTTTGTTAGTTAAAGTCATTGGGGAAATGGGTAAGAGTGGGGTGTGGTTAGTGTGAAATTGATGGTGGAAATTGGTACTTCAACATGGATAAGTATGTTACCTAAATCTGCATGCATATCTATGGATTCGTTAAGTGTGGGAATGATGATGTATATATATATGCGGGACAATGTTTACTGCATGTTTTAATAAGGTGAGGAGGGCAGGTGATGCTTTAACCCATTTGTAGTTTTGGAGTGGGAAAATTAACTTGAGTGAGCTGGAGATGTTGGCCTAGACTTTGGCCTCATATGCTAGTCCTTTTGTAAGACCAGGAATGATCGTGTGTTTGCAGGTAAGATTGTAACTTCTGAAGTCTTTATACAGCGCGTTCAGTTTCATGGAAGCTGTCACCTCCCATGTGGGTCACTCTCAACATGGATAGCTCTGCTCATACCAATACAAGTGATGTTGCAGCTAGCAGCCTTGTACGAGATCACCTATGACTCTGTCTTTTGAAGTTCACTTTTAACCCGGGCAGATGCTCTATTACCCAGACGGAGTTGAGGGCGAAGTTGAAGGTCTTCAGAAAGTTTGGGATGCTGGCTATAAATGAGTGTGACTGGAACTAGACTCTGCTTGTGCTTGCCAGCTGCTTTGGAGCTCCAGTTCCAGCGAGCAAGTAACCATAAAATCAATTCAAATTAAGGGTTGCCCGTAATTAGTGTAATTGTTAAATTTTGAAAATAGTTGGGGATAAGGAATAACATTGTTATTATTTCATGGTGTTTAAAATAGAACAACATATGAGTTGCAACCTAATGGAGAACATGTTTAATAATCGTAATGCTCTATATTTGAATAACACAGACTACCACTTATGTTTTTTTAATCATAAGCAAACTACTGTCGAGTATAGGATAATCGTATTTTCAAATTTTACGGATGTGTCGGATTAACAATTATATTTTCTTATCTATACAATACTACTACCGGGGGTTGGCTGACTATGTTTTTTTTTTTTTTAATTTTAAGAGTATCCTCGGACAGGCGAACACCGCTAAAGTCACATGTATCCTTCCGTACACGAACCAATCCATATTAAGATTTTTTGGTTGAAGATCATACACTATTATTTTTTTTATTTGATTTGCGAATTGCCTCTTTTCCGATTTTCCTCATTATCATTGAAATTCTAAATTAAACGTTATGTTACCTTGACGAATTTAGGTTAAGGCGTTGTGCATGTTCAATTGTCCACGCTCGACTCGAGTGACTCTCGCCCAGCCAATTCTTTCAAAATGAAAGGTACGAGCCGGCGCACTTCGCACCCTTCTACGCGGCGTAGGTGTCATTTTATTTTCCCCCATTTGCCTTCGAAATTAGGTGGCAAAAGAATTGCTCGCGCCTCGCAGTGCGAACCGGTCAGCTCCTTCCTCCCGGAAAATTCTTCTCCGTACACGCACGCAAAGAACTCGTTCCCGTTGTCGAGCCTACGCTCGTCCGTTGGTGTATCCAGGTCCGGCCGAACTCCGAAGAACGTCTTTTGGATATCTGCGATTCGATTCTCGAGTCGGTGGTTTTGTGATTCTCCCGATGTTGATTCGATCGGAGAAGGATTACAGGCTCTCGCCTCTGATTCTGACCTATTCGATTCTCCTCCTCAGCTGCTTTCCCGGTAAGGAACCGGAATGTTCTTTTGATCAATCGCGATTTATATATTCGGGATTCGTCAGATGGAACAGGGTGTGGTCAATTTACGCCGCATTAGGGATTGAGTTCAGCTGGATTTCTTTGCAGGTTTGACGCTCTCGGCCGACCTCACGCTGGATTCCATGGAAATCTACAATACTCACGAGTGGCTAAAGAGTTCGAACCCGACGGTGTATTTCCGCTGCAAAGGGGAGGACGAAATTGAATTGCCTGACGTCAAAGAAGTCAATGTCACGTACAGGTTCAATGGCGATGAATCTTGGCAGGTAAGGCATGTTGAATCAGCTCCTTTTTAGGGAATTGGTTCTAGGAGGGAAAGAACTCATGGCTTCAGTACAGATATGGAAAAGTAACTGAAAATGATCCTTGCTTGTAGAATTTAAGGCAACGCATTAAGTAATTTATGATGCTTTCCCTTGTTCTTGCATTTAAGCCATTGACAGAGCTTACGTCCAAGAAATGCAAGCGTTGTGGGTTCTATGTAAAACACATCATTAAATCCGACGATGTGTTTGAAGAATGGGAGTTGTGTCCTTCGGACTTTTTCGATTCGGATGGCAAGTATCGGCGTGTCAAGGAGCAAGAGTTTGATGCGGCCTTTTTGTGCAAACAGTGCGTGCCTCTGGCAACTGGTCAGTACTTTCCTTGTTTATAGTTATACCATCGTTTCCCATCTGCATTCCCTCAATCACTAGAACCTAATTCACCTAAGTTATTCCATAAAGCCTCTTATGCTATCATATTATGTGTGGGGTTGGTATTAGATCAATTCATAGAGTTCTCCCAACACCTCGAGATGATTGAATTTCGACGTTATAAAGTGTGTTTAGTTTTTGTTCTTGTGCATGAAGCAGTTTTCAGCTACATGGCTATGTTAATGAATAATTAATGAATGGTTTGAACTTCCAATGGAACTGAAATGTCTTTTATCTGCTTGGGAGCATTTGGGTTGTGGTATTCACAAAGCAAATTTCCCATCTTTATTTGGATTTTAATTAGGATCCACAGATTGATCAGTTTCCACGACCGTGCTGTGACTGTGAGGGCGAAACAATCAGGGTTTACCCTCTTGTTGCCCTGTCATTTTTATGGGAAATCTGTCATTTGGGTTGTGATTCACAAAGCAAATTTCCCATCTTTATTTGGATTTTAATTAGGATCCACAAATTGATCAGTTTCACAAAGCAAATGTCTTTTACCCTCGTGTTGACCGTGCTGTGAGGGCGAAACAATCAGGGTTTACACTCTTGTTGCCCTGTCATTTTATGTTTAAATCTGTTATTATCTGTGCTGGTTGATGAATAGCTAAGTGCTTTTCTTACTTTCAATTGTTGCCGGTTCATAATTGTTCCTCGACAGATTCAAATGGAGACTCTAGTAGCTCATCTCACAAGGGGAAAGGAATGCGTGTTGCTGTGATTATACTGATCAGCGCTCTAGTTTCCACCGTTTTGATTCTGGGGTCAGTTGTAGCATACAAGCACTGGCTGAAGAAGAAGAGGCAACAAGAACAAGCTCGGTTTCTAAAACTTTTCGAAGATGGTGATGATATCGAGGACGATTTGGATCTGGATACAATGTAGATGAATACTTAGTAGCCTTCTTACTTTGGTGTACAGATGATGTTGCATTTTACACGAATTGGAAGCTAACAGAGCATGGATTATGTAAGCAACAATTTTCACTTCTTCAGTGACTGGTTGAAGTTATCCAATTCTTTTGAATCGAAACCATAAATCGCCTTGATCGTGTCTCTACAAGAGCTGCAAGCCTCTTTATTGAATTTCTTCTTGTCGATGCCATACAAGGACTCGAACACATCAACCTCGACTCGGCAAAAGTATGGCCGATCTGGGAAGGAGAGCCAAAAAGAGGTTTCAAACTTGGAACTGTAGCGAATATTTGAACTCCATTGTAACAAATTAAGCATTACCTGCGTATATAGAGCACTTGCGGGTGCTTTTCTCGTAGTGTATACACCATCCATCCGGGCCTATTAAGCTTCTATACAGCTGAAAGCGAACCAGTTGGGTCGGTCATTTCGTCGAACAGTAGGCGGGCAACAAAAATAAAGGTTGGAGAGCAAACCTCGACATCGGAAGGATTGGAGAAGATTTCTTCAGGAGTGGCAAAAGAGGGGCCCTTGGCCAGCTTGCAGCACGCACCGCAACCCTCTACGCATTTCCATGAAAGCTCCTTCCTCTCGCCGCCGAAACCTTTCTTGGTGCTTCCTCCCGATGTTTTCAGCTGTTGCTGCTGCCTTCTTGTTGTACTGTTCTCTCCTCCATTTTGTCGCTGGCGGGCGGCTATAACGACGCTGCTAAAACATGGGAAAGCTGCGACGTGAGCCATGGCCGTTCAGAAGACAGTAGCGTTGCTCGTCGTTGTCACTTGTACCCTTTGCAACCGGCTGGATTTAGTTTCCTTTACCGCACATCTAGCATATAATTGTCCCTATAAATTTTTATTTTAGGTATATACTTGCTGAATTGCTATTCGTGGTCCTAAAATTAAAATTTTAGCGCCCTAAAACGCAATAAATTGACATATCAAAGTTATGGTCATTCAAAATTTGGCAAAATTAAAAAATTGCTTGTTCGGTGTAGCAAATAACGTTTTTCGGGACGAAGGTGAGACCAAACTGTCTATAGTTATTTGCGGTTTGCAAGATCTCGAAAAATTATGCGGAGTTAGAAAAATATTCGCTACGATCGGATACCCGATCTTGAATTTCCAAGTTTATGATTTTACCGATAGGCAATAGGTTCCAATCTAGATTTTACTAAATTTTTGAATTTTCAAATCCTATAAAATTCAGCTTCAAAAATTATAAAATTCAGTAAATCTATAATTTCAAGGTTTAATCTATGGTGAGTGGTGGTGACCAACATATATTAGCATAATAGCATAACTGCAAATTTATAAAAATACTAAAAGAAATTATTTCTACCACTTATTGCACGCAAATTACATAAAAAGGAAACGTTTCAGTTCTGTCGACAACATTGCAATTCCATTTGCCGAATTGCATTGGTAAATCCTTCATCCAACAACATTGCCGCCTTAGCTTAAAATATCAAATAGGAAATAGCTCGGATCCGGTGAACAGAGGATACATTCAGCTCCCAGTAGGACATAGAATTCTGACAAAAGCTACATCACAACATAAAAGAAAATCCATAGTTGAAGGTTCCAACTTCCAAATACTGAACATTTAAATTGAAGACCGGGGAGTGTAGCTTCAGGGACTATTAGCCGCTCTCTCTCATTCAACTTTCAGGGAGACACGCTGTCTCTAGGCGAGCGACGGTTGTTTTCAAAATCATCTTCAACGGCAGGGCTCTTGTCATCCCTCGCCCTTGGACTAGGGCTGCGGCTACGGCTTGGACTTCGGCCATTGGCCGGTGGACTCTCGTACCTGCCATTCTTAGGGCTCTCTCTTTCTGGGGTCCTGCTCCGGCTCCGGCTCCTGCCCCTTGGACTGGCACTATACTCTCGGTCATCATCCTCCACCTTCCTAGCTTTGGGAGAAGGGCGTGGGCTTCGGTCTTCAGGAGTAGGGCTACGCTTCCTCCCCTTGGAAGGGCCATCGTTCCTTGGGTCCGGGCTCATTGACCTAGCCTCGTTGTCTACACTTCGGTCTCTCTTAGGCACTGGAGACCTCGATCGGCTGCAAGTAGAAATGTGATCCAATCAGTCTCGTTAGTTAAACTACAAACGAGATGCAACAGACAAAGCTCTCATATGATTGCAGACAAAGCTCTCATATGATTGCTTGCTACTGGCGAACCTGTAGCTGCGGCCTCGGCTGTAACTTGGGCTGCGGCTCCTGCCACCACGACGAGGAGATGGGGACCTTGAGTAGCTTCGCCCACGCCTGTTCATATAACATAGCACCCAATTATAATGAGAAATAGAAATCGTGGAAATTGCAAGCAGTCACTACTACTATTTAGAACCAAGCAGAAATTTATGAAGGGAAGAAGAATGACTCACTTCAACTTCTGAGGGCTGTTCTTGCAATTTCTCTCGATGTGGCCCCTCTCCCCACATCTGTAGCACTTATTCTTCCAATCACCAGCTTTGCAATCTCTAGCCCAGTGGCCATCAATACCACAATTGAAGCACCGCCCAGATCCAGGAGGCGGACCTCTCCCCAGGTATTCCTTGGAGCCTCGAGGTACCTATCCTCGTCAGCGAACAAGGTTAATACAGTATGAAAAAGGTTGGGCCGCTTTAAGCAGCATAACCATTAAAGAACATCGACTAGCACGGTAAAATTGAACCTACCCCTTTAGCAACTTCCACAATGATCCGACTTCCATCAACATCTCGGCCATCTAAGTGATACCTCGCATCATCAGCATCCCGTGGATCACTAAATTCCTGTAGAGATGTAAAAGAAAACAACAAAACCGCAAACGAGACGATATAGTTTAAGGTAATAATCTGTCAGACACTAGTAGACAATACAGAGTTCAATTATACATCCGCCAGACAAATAATGAACCGAGCTAATGAGAAAAATGCACAACACTTACAACGAATGCATAGTCACGCTTCATATCCACATCTCGGACTCTGCCAAAACGGTTGCCACAAACAGTAAGGCCATCATTACGTGTAAGAGTACTGCAAGTTGTATGATACTTCACTCCTCATAGACGTACTAAACACCAGTTTGAATGAACACCACTTTGAGAGATTGTTGCCATTTCCATTCAAAAATACGCAATAACATAATAGAAAGAATCGCCAAAGTCCCCTAGGCAAGAATTTCCACCAATTTCCACCATGGCAACCATCTCACCACAGGCCTCCAGGTAAGGCAAAAGCCCCAGAAACCTTCAACAAGATCATTCAAGTTAAAAACAATAGACACCTAGGCACCACAACATTTCCCATAGAGAAAACTTGAGCAAATCAATGCGAGAAAGAAACAGTTGAAGACAAATATGTCCAACAAAAGAAAATTGAGGGGACTGAAAATACATACCCCATGACAAACCATGTCAGTCAGTAGGAAAATATGAATATTGGAGGCGTATAAAAAGTTCATGCATAAACACAAAAACCCACATCAAGTCCAAGAGATTTTATCTTCATGTGCAACTCACCTCCCATATTTGCTGAAGACATATTCAAGATCACGAGACCTTGTGCGGGGGGCTAGATGGCCAACATAGAGGCGGGTGTTGGCATATCTGTCATCATAACGCGGCATCTTCAAGCTGCGAGATGAAGAAGGTTACAACACAATGCAACTAAATAACACCAAATGAAACAGGGGAGACAGTCGCATACTAAAAACAGCTAGCTGATGCAATGCCTTCAGCTATGGCAGATACATAATTCATTCCACACAGATCACACATACGAAAGTTCTCCCTAAAATAATAACATAAAACGGTCTAATTGAGTCCTAATTAATCTCTCTGTAGCACAATAGTTTCACTACAATGTAAAGACACAGACTTCACTCCCCCTTCACAAAGCACCTACCCCTAAAAATAATTTTCCAGACAAAGATCTGTTTTTTCCCCCCCTTCAAGCCACGCAACTATGTCGACACTGCCAATGAAGATCCTAAGCAGCAGCACCCATGAAAACAAAAACTACATTACCAGCGAGGCAAGGAACGGATCAATCAAATTACTCGGATGAGACCCACACCGCCATAAATCTCAGAAAGAAGCCGCGTATAATCGAAAAACCCTAGCTGAAAACCAATCTACAAGCTGAGGCCGAGAAATTAAAATCCCTAGAATGGTGAATTAATCACACACAGGGAAACCAATTGAAACGGGAACCGGATGAAACTGAAAAAAACCTAGAGCGGGCTCTCACCTTTTGAAGAAGAAATCACGAATCTTGGTTTCACAGCAGCAGCTCTCTCGTTTGCGAACACGAGCAGCGTTTTATTTCTGGAGCGTAAAATAAAAGACAAAAGAGACGCAGAGGCGTAATTTATCCACCGAGAATGGACTTCGACGGCCAGGATTTCTTTGTGCGATTGATCGGAGGGTTGGCATCGGCAGGAGTAAATGGTTGACCGACTAGTTTCCCCCTTCTCCTGATTGGATAATGGATACTAAACTTTCAGCCCATGGGCTCCTAATACGGGCTATTGTTAAGTCACGTTTCTCCAAGGCCATGTATCCATATTCCTAAATACCCAAACACGACGAATAGCAATTAGGGATGGCAATGGATCGGGTCGGGTCGGATTTTGTCAAAATTGTGGGTTTATTGGAAAAATTCGGGGTAAAATCCATTGGATTTGAAAAACTCAAACTCAAACCCAACCCAACCCGCTGGATATTCGCGAGTTCATGGGTACCCATGAGTTTTTGTCGTAAAAAAAATTACAATAACAAGTTTCTATCAAAATCAAAGTCAAATAACAGTCTCTCAATACAAATTATCCATATAGAAAACACCATTCTAGAAAATTCAAGCAAATCACAAATTAACCATACAAATTGTTCAACACCAATCTAGAAAACTCAAGAAAATTGAAGCAGATCACAAATTATCCATAAATAACATATGATTAATTGAAAGCTTCTTCCTCCTTGTCAATTAAGCTTCTTCACTCGCCACTCCATAATATCAACTTCATTCTACACAATTAGAATGAAAAAATTAGACATGGCTTCACAAACATAAAGAAGATTAGTTGCTTAGAATATTAAATATACCGGAAAAAATAATTATATGAGTGTGGGCTGCTACGGATCGGGAAATCGCCAGAAACGAGAAAGCAAGAATACAAAAGTGAGAATCGAAAATACGACACACGATTTACGTGGTTCACTAACACGATGTGTGTTAGCTAGTCCACTGGCGAGAGAGAACCAGTTTCACTATATCGAGGAGATTACAGATTACAGATTACAGAGGAGTATGAGAAGTATTTATAGTACTTCTCTTAGGTCTAACCCTAATCCAATCTGGTAAAGAAAACGGTTATAGACCAGGCCCAGCTGATAGTTCGATTCAAGTCACATCAACAAGAATAATATAGCCACAATCATGTTTACTTGGTATCACATCTAACTAAATGTGTCCATCCAATTCCATGTCCCAAATTAGCCAGCACCAATCTAGTTGTACCCAAGTTTTGATGGAAAGTTCATTAACAGTTTCTCTTTATAGACAATAATGTAACTGTCAACGGATATATAAGTTCACAAAGAAAACCCTAAGCAATTTCCACAAACAAATTCATCAAAGCAAGCCTCAAAATAAGTTTAAACTTATAAGGAAGAAAACACCAAACATATAAATATGGCACTTGAAAAAAAAAATACTAACACTAATTATTGATCATCTACTTATCTTACTAGTTATTTCAAAGACAAATTCTTATCATGTTGTAATGTTGTTCCATGAACTGGTGCACCACTAAGTCAATGGTTCCACTAAGCGACGAATTCATTAATTTGTAAGCCTTATTGCATTTCTTCACGATACTAACCACTGAAGGGTTAGCAGGGCAGTTACGAGCATGAGGGAACCAAATTAAACTAGCACAGGGCCCGACCCGTTGGTCGGGAGAATTTTGTCTAGGAATATGGTATATATTAATATATAATATATGATTTGAAATGTATGAAATGAGTACTTTGGGCCTTAGTTATACACTTAAACATTTTTGAAAATGATCCAACTATGTATAATGCGTTCAGATCTCCATGAAAAGAGAAAATATACATGATATAAGTATTAAATATAATTATTGAATGAAAAAATATAACTAATTGTCATTTATTACTTAATCAAATCATATAGTTGAATATTAGAGTTGTTTGTCATAATACATAAAAAATCAATCTTTAGGATGATAGAAAATGTCTCTCGTAGAGTTTAGTAATGTCCTTTAACCTTTTCCCGATAGAGATTATTCTTTTTTTTCCACACCGTTAGTAATAAATTTGAATTTGCTTGATTTGAAGTATATAGGACATGATGCTAAGCTGTAACCAAATAGTTAGTTGGACAATGTGTTGTATACGGATTTCCCAAATTATTCTCAGATTGCACACAAATCTAGCAACAATGTAGTTTCATGCAACAAATAATTTTTTCTGAAATAATTAAATAAATAAAACCTATGAAAATCATATTATATGACATATATGTTACTCATTAAGTTGATGAATGAGCGAGGGTATGAGTAACATACATTTATTTTAAAAAGATAGAAGTTAGTGTCTTTTGGGTTGAATTATGCATTATCGCTAACTGACTTGCGCTTTTTCGCAATAGATAGTTCAAAATGTGCCTTGTAACTTTTGTTTCCACCGGTGTTAAAGAATTGGCTGAACCAATGATTGTAAAATTGTATCGACAAAGTTGGTGGTAGACTATTTTATACTGAAGTCCTAATCTAACCGCGATTCAGCTATTTCATATTGCTAAATATCACCTACCGATTTAACATATGGTGTAAAGTTTTATGGTTGAACTGTCGATACGTATGATTTTTCAATTCAAACTTCAAATAAAAAATCACTAAAACATTGACATTATCGAATGCCCCTTAAATCTCAAAAATTATAATAATAGTATTAAGAAAAAAAATCATTCAAAATGATAATTTATTTAGGGTTTTAAATTAAAATGGAAAAATCTGTCAAATATAATGCCATCCTCTAAAATAAATCAAAACTCAACAGAATATGGCCAACAATACTCACTAAGCAAAGCGGAAGGAAAATTATTTCGCACTACCTCATCTCCCCCCCCCCCCCCCCCTCTCACTCTCTCTTTGCCTTCTTCTTTTTCTGTTTTGTTCTTCCATCTCTCTCTCTCTAAGCTTTCACTACTCTCCCTTTTCCCTTCCTCTTCTTTCCACTGTCTGGAATGAAGAGAAATCTAGAAATATTCAAATTACTTCTCCAATTTTGCGTTTGAAATTATTCTTCTCCATTCATAGTCGATAGTTTGAATCAGAGCTTCTGAAACCTGACGAACATATGACCGCTTGTTCTTCGACGAAGCAAAGTAGTTCGATAACATGTGAATAAACGAATTACTAAAAGTATTAAACCAATCGAGGTATCGAAAAAATCAAAATGCATAAAACATGAGTTCACCAATATAGACTGTGTGGTGCTCGCACTTGTGCCCGAGCCCTTGGCGTTTAAGTCTGGTATGACCCATGAAACATTCATGATTGTACAGGCCTGATTCATATATATTGTACTCATAGTATGTGGCTAGGTATGAGCTAACTGTGTCGGGCTAGCTCGACCATGTGCCTAGGTATAGTTATATCTTATATGCATTCTAATAATTAAGGTTCCACCTATTCACACCAACAAGATAAAAAAACAATCATACATGCACCCAGTATTCGATTTTGACTACCTGATGAAATACTACATTTGAACCAACTACCACTAATGTCGCAAATAATAATTATACCTCTAAATCAGACATAAAATATTTCAAACATCACTAATATTAAGATTAAATTAATTATTATAAAGAGTAAAGTATACTTATGTATTTTGTCTAAACTAAAATGCACAAACAATTTAATATTAATGTTTGAATCAATGTTACTTGAGTTTCTATTTAAGAAGCAATCTCTTTCTATAAAATATAAATAACTTAAGATAAAATATAAATATAGAAGTATCATCACCAAACATATTTCTAGAGTTTAATCAAAGAATTAAAAATAAATACAATGTAGACTAGTTGGTTATAATGCTCTTTCTTCATTTATTAAGTGATCAAGGTTTGAATTCCAATGATAACATTTTTAATATATAAAGATGATTTGGGTGCAATGACAAAAATGACTTTTTTAGAATCACTCTCAGGCCACGAAATTTGAAATGGGATAATTCCAATTCATGTTTTGTCTTTATATATTTTGTAGATGAAAGTGCATGTAGTTTTGAAGAATATGATTTGTTTAAAAAAAATCCGAAAAAATATAAAATAATATTGTGAAAAAAACTAAGGATTGTAAAATCGTACCGGAGGTTGTATCATAAAAGTAAGTGATAAAATAACCCTCTAGAGAAAGCTTCTAAAAAATACTGCTAGAAAAACATGAATGAGTTACAAAATTAAATTGTAGCGTGTGTTTGAAAAGGCAAAGTTCATTCCACGGGATAAAGAAGAAGCAAAGGCAGAATAAAACATCAAATGAAAAAAGAGGGCTAACAAATTGGAATGCAACGTTTGATTTAAAGTGAGTGAAATGCTCTCAGAGCAGCAAAATTCATATGGAGAAAAACATACTCATGAATCTCCATTATATATTCTTTGTCCAAAAAAAAAATCTCCATTATATATTGTCTAGATTGAAATGAGGAGATAGATTGATTAGCAAGGAGAGTCAGATCTCTTTTCGGTTTTGATTCATTAGGACTTCAAGCTTTACTTATTCCCTTCACACTTCAACCTGCAATACATCTTCCACTATCCTTTTGAATTCAAACTCGTGGGCGCCTCTTCCCATGATTTCTAGCTCTCCATTCGTCCAAATAGCGGATGTAAATTCCCCTCTCGCAATTCCAGCTTTGGGGAGACCCCGAAACTCCTGTAAACTTTGGATTACCGATCCCCAATTGATGTAAGCTTCTTACTTATTGCGTCAGTATCTTTTCAGTCTCTTTCGTGTGTTTGTGTATTCGTTTTCCCTTTGCACAGAGATACAAACACCCAGATGCACTCCGGCAAGAAGAAGGCTTTGTGGTTCGACGGAAGAAGGCTAGCTGATTGTAGTCACCTATTTTGTTTAGAGAAGAATCAAGAAACTGCTACTGGGCCAACACAACTAATATCTCGGCCCACCAGGCTTGTGTCCGGATTTTGCTTCCCCGCCCATCAGAAAATACACTTCCGAAACTGTCCTCCGCAAAGTACTCTCCATTCTCCAAGCAGGAAATTTAAAATGGCGCATCCTCTTTCCCCATTCAGCTTTTATTTATTGTGTAGATATAAAAAACTAGAATTCAAATTTTGCAATGAATTTGAAACTCTCACTCACAAAACTGAATTACAGATTGGTTTAATGATGGTATGTTAACGCAATTGACCGCACGCTTATCCTTTTGGCCTGGCCTTGAACTTGCAAAATTATAAGAACCATAAATGAGCTTCCAAGCTCCTAGGTTCAAGTATGCCCATCTGCAAAAATAGGACTCTGCTTAGCAGTAAAACTCCCTTTCCCAAGTCACTTGCCCTATAGACATTCGCCAGATGTGCATTGTTCTTACAAACGTAGCACAACACTGGCCTGGGGATCTCAGCTTTTCTTGTGCTCAATGCCTCCTCTGCATATGATAAAGCGATGACATAAATCAGCTAGAGATATACCCAAAAGATACTACAGCAGCAACATTCATCACGCCAAAAAAACAGAAAAAAAAGAACTCCCCATGGCAAGGATCGTTACAACAGCATCCATACTACCCATAAACAATATATTATAGTTTGTTGCTTAAGCTATCCTCTAAATGATCTCAGCCTCGCAGCACGCATGCGCAATTTGTTTTTCAACTCTTAGTTCTATGAACATCCATACAGAGTACAAAACGTAGGAAGTCAAACTTGGGAATTACACAAACAAGGAAAAGCTATCATCAACATTTCTGAGCATACCTTGTGTTTCTTGTGCTTCCTCATTCCAACACTGCCATTTCTAGCTTTCTGTTGTTCACCAGCACCATCATCCAATGGTAAGAATTTGATATCGAAACCATCAGTCAAACCATCCAACCTGCCAGAAAGGAATGGAAACAGGAAAGGTTGTCGAGAATTGTCACAGAAATCTGAATAACAAGCCCATCCGCTTGCTCAGTAAATAATATCTCAACTTCTCAGAAATTAACCCCAAAAGATGCAAACATACCCGCCTCTTGACCTCTTTAAATTCCTCAACTCTTTCTTCTCCTTCTTTGTGATAGGCGCACGGATGAATTGGTCTTCTTCCTCTTTCTCACGTGCTTCCCAGTTTCTCTGATATTTTTCAAACTCCCTACTCTCGTTTCCAAAGGATTCTTTAACCTGGTATGTGCACATACAATAAGTGGTGATCTCAAGTGCCTGAAAAAGTTTATCCAACAAGAAGAATAAATAAAGCGGAGAAAGAACTAACCTCTTCAGGCTTCCCCTGCAAGTCATCAAACAAATCTTTTTGGAAGCCCAGTCTTGATCGTCTAACCATCTCTTTCTCTTTTCTCACTTCATTCCTTTTTTCCCTCGATATTCTGCCACCTTCCATTTCTACTGGGACCAATTTTGGTGGCCGATATACACCCACAGCATCCTAGGACACATAATCACCAAATTAGCTAACAAGAAATGCCAGATATTCTTTCATCCAATGACAGCCTAATTTTTAAAACGAAACTCACCCCAGAGGCGACCACAGATTTGTTATTAAGCATATCTGGGTTGGGACGATACTTCAAAAGATCCTCAGAATTCCTAGGAGCCTCTGTATTGCTATTGACATTTACTTGATCCACAGGCTGTGAAGCACCCTTTGTGAGCTTTTGAATTTGATATTCAAGTTTTTTGTCAATTGGTCGTATCTGTTAAGAAAACATCACAAATTGATATCCCCATTTCTGCAACAAACATTCATCAAGTGAACAAAGAGGCATAAAAGGGAGACAAAGATGAACATACCTTCTCCAAAAACAACCTCGTCTCGACAAGCTTTTGAACAACAGGGTGATTGTCAACTGACAAACCCTTTGCCTTACGAAGTATGTAGTACACCAGCGATTGGCAATAGTTAAGAAGCAACAAATTTTTAGCCTCTAGGTAGCTTATCCCATCAGCTGTAGGATAATTATTAGCTTTTACCTGCTCATCAAGAAGGGGTAAAAATATTCATTTTCAACAAGAAGAAGTTAAATCATCAGGGGAGGACTTCAATTGTACTTTCATTCACAGCGTAAGACTCCTCGCAACTCCAGCATTCAAAAGTAAGATCCTCAAAACCTAAAACCCTTTACCTTAGCAGTCAAGCTTTCAACTTTACTTCTCACCAAATCCAACCCTCCTTTCATTTCTTTCAGTACTGATGCTAACTGAGGATTGTCCCTGAGTCCAAAAAGCAAAATTAGATGGTAGCTAAGAACAATTCAATCTCATGTCAGCTAAACCGCAAAGAAAGGTTACTCTTTTATCCTCTGGTTCAATCCTTGATCGGCCATCCTGCCCTCCTTTGCTTCCCAACTTCCTGAATCCTGATTCAAATAGAGACCAATTCAGCTGAAGAACAAAATAACCAGAATGCCAGAGCTAGAATTATATCCTATATGCTCTGATAAGCAGACCGCACGCCATAATGGAGAAAAAAGAGGGTTCAATCAGCATGAACCGGTGCATTTGTTTGAAACAGCTGTTCAAAGAAAGATTTAAACTCCCGTACAACCAATCTTTACGTAAACAGATCCCAAAACTCTAATATCCTGTTGGAATTCTCTACCTTCATCGCAAACAAATAAACACAAAATAGCTAAAGAAAATCTATCGTTCAAATACTATCAGCAGCAACCACACAGGCTAAATACTAATCCCCACAGATTTATACAGTTTCCATCCATTTCGAAAAGAGCAGACGAGCAACTATAACATAAGAGTGAACTTGAGAAAGGATGAAACCAAGCCCAACCCGAGCCTCACCATGAATCTCAAATAGAAGCCGCCTACAATTCAAAACCCTAGCTAAAAAAAGAATCTCCAAGCACGGCGTGAACAGTAGAATCCCCATAGAAGAAAAATCAACAGGCTAAATCACATACCAATACTTGAAACCCTAGCTGTCTCTCACCTTGGCTAATTCACTGAAGTAGCTCGTTCAATCAAGCAGCGATTTCCCCTTGTCACTTCCGGAAGGAGGTTAACGAACAAGCTTCGAACAGAAGAGTTGAAACTTGCAAATATTTCCGCTACTGACTACTGTTCCCCTCCTGTTTTGTGGGCTTTGGGCCCATGGGCTTGTGTTAGGGGCCGTAGCTGCCGTAACCTACACCGATCGCGTTTCTTCAGGGCCTCTCTCCAGATACAAAAAAAACCTGATGGATTGGGATTTTTTTCACAATTTTGGGAAATCGTTAGGAACCATGACGACCATGGCCAGAGCGGCGAGAGCGACTGTGATCCGCGGTGCGTCTCCCGGCGGCGCAAGTTCTGCCGCACTGAACAAGGCGAAGGCCAGCGGCGTCGGCGGCGGCGGCCACTTTGAATCGCGGCCCGGTGGTTCGAGTGGTGCAGCCAATCTCAAAGGAGAGAACGCAGCAGGTGTTGTTTTAATTTGTTTGTTTCTTTCTGCGCACGAAAACTTGCAGAATCTGGAATCAGAAGTTCCCGCGTGTTGATTCGATTCCTCTTCCTCTGCTGTTGAAAATGCAGGTTCGGCGAGCGAGCATCACGTGAAGGCAGCTGCGATCGCGGCGCACAACTACAGACCTGGTGGAGGAGCTTATGCAGAGTTTCTCAAAGATGAGGAGGTTCTGGAGAAGGTGAGGTTTCGATTGAAGGGGAACAAGAGTGAGTGACTGAGTGTACATGTTTTGGGGACGTTTTGTGTTGATCTGCCTGTGTGTGAATTGGCAGTGTTTGAGCATGTGGGAGCATCCCGACCGCACTTCCTGCCAGAATCGAGCTTCGACTCTTGTGAAACATTTGGAAGAGAATGCTAAAGGTAAAAGCTTCTGTTTTTATCCATTGGCAGAGAAGAAGGTTTTAGACTTTAGATTTGTATCTGTACTTAATTGAGATGTCGGTTATTTGTAAAGGGAAAAGGGGGATTGGCAGAGGAAACAAACTGAAATACTAAAGTTTGTTTTTCTACTTTCAACCTTGTTCAGGAATGACCATTAATGCAGAGCCGGTATTTGTGCCAACCTCCAACCGCAAGAAGATTCAATCCAGCTTCTGGGAAGAGCTCCTTGAAAAGGTTTGTGATTTGCTCACCGTTGAATATCCATGGAAATCGAGTTAATTCCACCTTTAAGATTGAATCAAAAGCTCTGATTTGTAAGCCTTGTGCTCCACTGGCTGCTGGTTCTGTGCAGTGTGTGAAGGAGCATGGAAGTTTCACGCAAAAGTGCGATATCCAAAGGCAAAGGGTGTACGAGTGCTTTGGCTCTTATTATGACGGTGGTATTATTAGCACTTAATTGATTCTGTCTGCACAAGTAATTGATGATTGAAATGCAACATTGTTATTAGCACTTAATTGTTTTTTTGGAATAAAATAGGAAGTCGGGCTACTAAATTATCTGCAGCTAAATAAAGTAGCAGAATGTCTGGATGAAATACGCTGCTTGTTGTTGGTAGTGAACAACACTATTTGTACACATGCTTAGTTCATTCTGTTATCCAAATTCCTATTTGTACACATGCTTTCTCGACAGCATTTGTGCACATGCTTTCTTTGATAGAATATGTTCCTTTCGACCTGCTACTGCATTCCAAATTAAATTCCTTTGCATATTTGTCCGTTTCCTCCCACGCCAAGTTCCAAAGAATATGTGACAACTCGTTTCAGATGTACGTACTTCGGATTCGTACGGGTACTTTGGATGTAGCATTTTGGCTTTGGGCATGTGGTATTTTGTTTCAAAATGTTGCATTAATTTAGAATATGACATGTCGTATGGCATTTAAATTTTGTTGCGTACAAATTAAATTCTAATGATCTTATTTGGGTTGGACATTCCCATGTTATGTTATTTTATCAAAACCTGAGTTGTTGAGAGAGATTTAATAATGAATCTTATATCAAATAATTATTCATGATTTAGTTATTTGCTTGCTTTTGAATTATGCCGAGAATCGTATTATCAATAACTAGAGTTGTTGGGTGAGGTTCAATAATATATCTTATATCATTTGCTAACACGTCTCTTTATAAAAAAGCCACATTATATGAAATTGAAGTTTGCACAAATCTGAATATTATGTGATTAAAATGAGGTTGCAAAGATTCAAACACAAGACCTTTAACTCAACTATTATCAATTAGACGTAGAGGCACACGATCGTAAGATCACATTGATAACTTTTTAACTGTTGGATGGAACGCGATAAAAAAAATGCCCTAAAATTTTCAAATGCAATGCAGTGTCAAAGCAGATCTACCCCTCATTGAATAAGGTCGACATAGATATTGTGGTGCAGGGTTGACGATCGATCACAGAGAAATTAAAGGGATTCCACTTCACACAATTATTTTGAAACGCTAAATAGCCTTGCACCACATTTACCTATTTAATCATGCAGACACATGGGGAAAGCAGTAATTTTGGATGCTGCCAATATTAGTTACTGATTTCAGGAGACATTTTCTTCCTTGTGTTAATTAAAAACAAATTCTTTCTTGCCTCTTCCCCTACCTCTACGTCTCAGAAAACACACTCATTGCCACTAATGGTAAATCGTAACATTCATTAGGAAACATTATTGCTGCTAAATGTCTGTTTGAATGAATTTATGACACCTAAATGATCATTAGTTAAGATATTTCTTGGATGAGTTGAGATTCAATGCAAGCCTAGAATAGAAACCCACACGTGTATAAGTCTATACACTGTGGATTGATGGCGTTGCCCCCCGTGACTTCTAGGCGCAGCCAGATAGTCTTATTCAACTCATATCAACAAATCTCCACCATAACTTGACTCCTCCCCTCTAAAATATCTGATGTACTTCAATCCTTCTCCCTTTCCTGCCATCAATGCCCCTTGTGGGTTGTGGCAGATTCATCACCCACTTAGAAAAAATGTATGCATTAGTTACTAACCATGTCCTGATCTATGAATCATTATTTTTACAAGTGTATTAATAGGACAAGAGGAATAGGAGGGATTCTAGACCCTAGTGATGACGGTGGGTAGGGGTGGCAATTCGGTTACCGGTTACCGATTAACCGGCCAGTTATCCACTAACCGGTAACCGAAGTAACCTAACTTCGTTCGGTTATCGGAAGCTGGCCAAAATGATTTTTGGTCTTAAAAGTGGTTCGGTTAACCGATAATCGAGGTAACCGAGAAACCGAAGCCTATTTCGGTTGGTTTTCGATAAAGGGGGTGTTTATTTCGGTTAACCGATAACCGACCAATCAGTTACCGGTTATAACCGAAATAACCGAACTGCCACCCCTAACCGTGGGTGAGGAAGGACGGGTACTCAGTAGCTATACATGCTTGTAAGGCTACGGGGCAGGGCAGGACTGTTGGTCCACTAATTCTTATATGTTATTTGCAAAAGAATGTCGCTATCTAATTCTTTTTCAAGAAGACACAGAGAAAATACTTTCATAAATGAACTAGAAATACAATAATGGGAATAATTAATTATAAATAGTTCAAAGATCGAGTCTTAAAAAATTTCTTTGAGATAAATAATATAATTTTAGAAAGATCAACAAATAATAAATATAAATAGATATTAATGCAAATCACGATAGAACGAATCGAGAACAAAATAAAAAACAAGTCGGAAGCAATAGCAAGTCGAAATAGGTCAAAAATCGCCACCGCTGCAAGCTAGCTAAAGAATTGAAAATTCCCAATTTCTTAGTTTAAAGCTTTGTGTTAGCATGGCCTAAATATTTTTTTTTTTTTGGTAGAATGGCCTAAATAATTAACTATCATAGTCCCAAATTTTTTTTTTAACTTTATTTCTCCCTCTCTCTCTTCCCCCGTAACTTTTCTTACAATCTAAGCCTAGCTGCCTGCCTGGTGTATAAAACCCCAACTTCCAACACTACCGCCCCAAAAAAAAAAAAAACGCCGACATCCAATGGCTTCAGCGTGCATCGACAAGTGCGTGAAGGACACGCGAGACCCGCGGGTTCGCCCGGTTCGGGCCACGTACGTGAACCTATACAAGTGGCCGGAATCCGACGCCGAGTTCATAAAGTCCGTCCGGCGCGTGAGCCAGGGCGTACAGCACCAGCCGCCGAGGGTGGTGGACAGCATCTCCTGCAGGCAGATGTATCTCAGGAGCTACACTTTCTCCCGCAAGGAAACCGTCCCGGAGAAGACCCGCAGGTGCTTCGGCAGGGTCAAGGACAAGGTCGGCCGGCGGAAGGGGACCGAGGGCGGCGGCGGCGGCCGGCGAAAGGGCAGGAAGTGTTTGGTTCTGAGGAAAGTGAAGGAGGTGTCGTGCCGGACGTTTTACAGGATCTTCCACAGGTTTTTGTCTTGTGCTGCTAGCGTAGATGTTGTGGATCACAAAGATTGAAGCTTTGAAAACAAAACCCTAATTTTCTATCTTCTCTCCTTTTCATTTGAGTTTTTCTTTTTTAAATAATTTCTTTTGGGAGTTTAATTATGTTGAGATTTTGTTATGTTTTTCTTCTTCTTCTTCTTCCTGCGATGATAATTTTTGTAATGTGTGTAACTCCAATCTGTTGTTAAACTAGTAATTAAGGGAGGATGTAATTATGGAGATTTATAAGCTTTGGTGAATTTTTTTATTTTTATTTTGCCTCGTGTATGATTATTTGTTCCATTTTTATGGAAGGTTTTCTCCATAAGTTTCATGAAATTTTAGGTTAGTCTGTGCAAATTTTAATGGAGAGTCGAGAGGGGCAATTTTGTAGCCGGGTTTCTGGCTTCCCGGGGCCACTCGCTTCCTGTTGGGTTACAATGTAATTGACATTCCTGACCCGTGTTTGGGTTACTGGTTGTACTACGACACTATCGGGGTTCAGACCCCACGTTTGGTCATTAATTAAGGGTTGGGGCGCCCCTTAGCGGTCCGTTTGCAACCCAAAAAAAAAAAATAGAGAGAGCTATTGACGATTATGATTATATGTGATAATTTAACGAGTTTAGATCAATCTCGGTCGATTCCAGTAAACACCGTAACGAGTACAATATTACTTTGTAATGGAGTAGCACTTGTCGTATCGACCTAGCTAGTGATAGAAGGGTAAGTAGGTGGTGACTGCTGGTATCTCTACTGCAGAAAGCTGTGTGAAAGAGTTCACCTAGGATTCCAAGTCTCCTAGGTGAAGAGCTCAATTAGGGTTACTTTTCCTCGTTTCTCAATCTCAATTTTTATATTACTACCGCAATTGAGGGAAAGTCAAAGTAAGAAAATTTGAGAGAAAAAGCCTAATGTCGCGGCCCTAATTCTCACATATTTCCCACTAGGGCAAGTTGACATGTGTATATAATAAATAAAAAGCCTAGCTAATTACGTAATTACGAAATGCATGCTTGATTTGAGAGGAACAAAAAGCAAATCCCAGTCTCAACTCTCAATGGAGCTCATGATCATTAAGTTGGTAATGATCAATTGTTTCATTCGGGACAAAAAATGGTGGTTCGTCAGGTCCTACGGGAAACACCAGCAGTGCCCTTCTTCATCATTATCATTATGATCAATCAATGGTTTGATGGTAGGACTTGCTAAATTTTGTTATACTTTAGAGCTTTTTGGTATTTCATTAGCTGATCTACGTACGCTTTCATGATGAAAATAAATATGTCGATGATCTATTCCAAAATATAAATAAAAGTTTACAAGTGATAAAGAAGTACTGTCAAATTCCCTTAAGCAATAGTTCCAATTGATTGATGTTGATGTGACTTGAATCGGACTATCAGCCGCTACGACTGGTAATCGGGGGTCTCGCTGTTATTTGGGTTCGGGTTCTGGGTCTGGTCTGTAACCGTTTCCTTTGCCATATTGGATTAGGTTTAGACCTACATGGAGAAGTACTATAAATACTTTTCATACTCCTCTGTAATATGTAATCTCCTCGATATAGTGAAATTGGCTCTCTCTCTCGCCCGTGGGCGTAGCTAACACACATCGTGTTAGTGAACCACGTAAATCGTGTGTCGTGTTTTTCGATTCTCGCTTTCGTATTCTTGCTTTGTCGATTTCAGCGATTTCTCGATCCGTAGCAGTGCGTTTATAACAATTGAATACAGTAGCACCTCTTCATAAACTCGAATATTATATAAACTCGACTATTCTTGCTTATGACAATTGCTGCCTCGCTGGTTATTGGGGTGGTTTGGATGGATCAATTATAAAACGAGACAATTTGACCAATTGTTTTATTTTACAAAATGAGTCATTTAGAACGAGTCAATTCAGATTACCTGCTCTCACCCCAGACAATTATAATTGGGCTCAAAATGAGTCAAATTAGAATTCCCCAGCCAAATTGCTTCATCCAAATTTTCTGCTGTCAAACGAATTAATCTAGCAGAATTGTCTTAAAACAAGACAATTATGTCAAATTGATCCAATAGAATTAATCATCCAAACCAACCCTGATTTAGATTATTACAAATGTAAAGAAGGAGCGGTTACGATAAATAACCTTGTTAGAGACAATGATGATCGCACCCACCAGACGCCACTGCAGCGGAAGAGAGGATTGTGGGTCTAGGGGATTCATCACT